CTCCCCTCGTCTCCTCGTCTCCTCGTCTCCTCGTCCCCGCGTCCCCTCGTCTCCTCGTCTCCTCGTCTCCTCGTCCCCTCCACTGTACCATACCATACATAATGTATGTGCTCCGGGGACTTCCTGCTCCCCCCCCCTCCCCCCTCCTCCCTCAGTCTTGCTAACCTGCTAACAGGAAACAGTGAATGTGTGTTGTTCAGGTGTCGCTGCAGTACTTAAGGGCACACATAGGGGGCAGTGGTGGTTAAGGAAGTGGACTTGGGTCCGGAAGGTTTCAGGTTCAAATCCACCAGCTGCCAAGTTACCACTGAGGTGCACTGAGCAAGGCACCGTCCCCACTCACTGCTGCCCCCTGTGTGTGCTCACCTGCAGGGCGGCGCACACGCACACAAACAACACACGGTGTAAATTAAAGTTCAAATCAACAGACGGAGACGTTGACTGACACTGAAATAAAAACAATTTGTGAGACTTTTGTTCAAACAGTGCAGTCGCCCCCTAGTGGTTATTCAAGACCATAAAACATTTTGACACTGGATTAAATGTGGTAACCTGCAGATTAGGGATATTTATCTCAGGCGTGTCTGTCTGTGTGTGTGTGTGTGTTATTGTGGTGTGTGTGTGTGTTATTGTGGTGTGTGTGTGTGTTATTGTGGTGTGTGTGCTCCACCCTGTCTCCGTCTCCGTCTCCTTCCTGCTTCAACCACTGTGGGGTTAAAGGACAGCAGAGAACCGGTCCATCGCTGACCTCCAGTGGTCAGAACCATCACAGACGGTAAGACAGCAGCTGGTGGATCATGGCGTGAGACGGTGTTGCCCTTTGACCTGAACCAGTCGGAGACTAGAAGAGTGAACAGAGACAAACAGTTCTCATCAGTTCTCATCAGTTCTCATCAGTTCCTGGTTCCTGCAGGTTCCTCAGCAGGATTCAGCTTCTCACTCATTTATCCATCTCACTGCATGTTGATCTGACCCGCTGACCCCTCCGCCCCACACCGCTGCTTTGACTGCAGGTCAGTGTGTGCGCCCCCTGCCGGCGGCGGCGGCAGTACCAGGCAGCGTCACTGTCTCAGTCGGCGGCAGCAGCAGCAGCCGCGGAGCCGCTGTTCCTGCTCTTCCTTCGGGGTCGGAGCTAAACTTCTCTCCGCTCTCACTGACGGACTTTCGGTTTCTCTGCTCCTTCGTCCTCCTGCTGCTCCTGCTGCTCCTCCAGTGCGGCTCCCTGCTCCGCAGAGATGAGGCGGAAGGAGAAGAGGCTGCTGCAGGTCTCGGGGCTGGTCGTGGCCGCGCTGCTCTTCTTCCCCAACGTCGGACTTTGGTCCTTGTACCGGGACCGGCTCTTCGAGAACTCTGCCGGTAACACAGCGGCAGGAGGAGCGGACTCCCCGGGAGGAGCTCCGGTCATTCAGGTAAGGAGAAGCAGAAGGAGGTGCTCACCTCCTCCCCGCTCCTCTTCCAGCTTCTTAAAAACGCGAAGAACACAGTTTAAATATGACTTTGTTGGAGACTATTTTGGTTGTGTAGTTTACAGAGTGTCCGTGAACGCACCAGCACCTCCCTCCCCCAGCGGACACACACACACACACAGTGTTTGTTGGTTCGTGTGTGTGTGTGTTTCTTTGTGTGATAAACAGACTCGTGTTGACGCCGCGGTGGATTTCTGTCCACTCACCGTCCACTCACCGTCCACTCACCGTGGACACCGAGGTGACGCCACGTCACGTCACGTCACTCAGATCCGTGAAGACCAGGAAGTTGTCGGTGCTGTGTTCACGGACCATCCCTCAGACCGACTTGGTCTGACTGAGGGCTAATACGAGTTTCCCAGTTTAAAAAGTCACGTGACGTCACGTTTGTGACAGTGAAGATTCAGGTTCTATGAAACATTTAGTCCAGAAAGTTCCAGGAACCACAGTTAGAGTCACCACTAACACGGTCTGTGTTTGATCCGTGAAGGTCTGGGCAATCCATCGAACCCTGACCACAAATGACCACAAATGACCACATTTCCCAGTGGTCAGTCTGAACTGAAGCCTATTGGATGAGAGATGAAACGTCTTAACAAACAAACCTACTTTGTCCAGTTGTTTTCGATGTAACTGTTTTTTAAATTGATTTGATTTGATCGTAATGTCCAACAGCAGGTGTAGTCCGACCCCTGCTGGTCGGAGATGGTAGCGGTTTAGTTCTGTGGTGATTCTGTGCCAGCGTCCAGTTAAACTCACAGTCTGATCAGTTGTTGTTCCCGCCCTGAACCCCGTTGTCATGGCAACCAGAAAATCATTTCATTTTCACTCAATCTTCGACCACTGTGACACTGCAGTGAACAGGATGCCCAACAGGGGGCGCCAATTATGCCAAGTACCAACATGTCTCTGTGGACGGACGTCTAAGGAAGACACATGGACAGAGACCTGACAAACCTGTAATGTTGACAGTTTTCAGCTGCAACAACAGCCTGGTGACGGAGTCTGAGAGCTAACATGTTAACAACAAGCTAACAACAAGCTAACAACATGTTAACAACAAGCTAACAACATGTTAGCTCCAGGTTCTGAGCTGCTGCTTCTTCAGTGACAACAGTTCTTCATGTTGTTCCTGGGTTCTTGTAATAACTTCCTGTGGTACAGTTCCAGTTCCTGGTACTACCTGTTGTTGTGAAAATTGTTATTGGTGTTGTTAGCACGCTACAGCGTAGCACGTTAGCAGTGTTAATGTGTAACCATATTTGAGATTACCTGTCTTTACAGAGGCTAAGCTAACCCTGCTAACAGCCTCCGTGGCTCCTCTGTGGTCCTTAATAATCATGAAGTATCACTACTGCCACCTTCAGGAAATGACTTTCATCTACTTCCTTTATTAAATCAACAGTTTTAATACGTCTGCCATGATAAATATAAATATATTTATTTTCTTAATAAATGTCACAGGTTTACAGAGTCAGCTGTGTCTGGTCTGTCTGTCGGTCTACAGAGACTGAACCAGTCACTCAAAGACCACAGACATTCCAGAAACTGGGCCAGAGCAGGACGATCAGAACCATGTCCTATTTTCCAGACAGTCCTCTGAGCTGCTGTGGCGGCGCGGTGGCTCGGCGGCGCCTCAGTCCAGCGCTCTGACCTGCAGCTTCCTGTCTGCTCCCTCTGAGCTGCCGCTCTTCTGATCAACATTAGAGCAGAACGAGAGTTTGGCCGTCGGTTCAGTGACAAATCTGTCCTTTCTGCTCCGTTGACACGGTGCGGGGCTGGTGTTCGATGCCAGCAGCCGTCAGTGACTTCACAGCTCAGACCTCCAGGCTGTGATCCAGAGTGCAGCGTGCAGAAAGTCAACTGAAATGGGATGGACTTAGGCAGCACCTGGCTCTGACTGC